TCCTATTTATGTTACGATGCTGAGACTTGGACCAGATGAAACCCTTTTCACATACAACTCGTCAAAAAAGTTTGATTGAAATTGAACTGGTTTTCATTTTTGGCATATTTGAATCTCTTGGCCACTTCATGTGCAGGTTCCCTCCTGTCGGCTGCGCTTGTGGCTGAGGACTTGCGCACACGGGGCTCTTTGGCTTCAGTCCTGCGTTTCTTTTCCCTCCTTGAGCAGTCTTCTGGTTAGCTTACGGAGGATGTAGAGGCACTTGGGGCCGTTCCTAAGTCTAGCGCCTTGGCTTTGGCTGCTTGCTCATTGTCTGCGCTTTTGAAGTTGTTTGCGCCGATCCTGCGGGATGTGCTGTTGTGGTTTTTCGCTGCATGCCTCGTATGTTGGCAGGTGTTGCTCGCTTCCAACTCTGAATCCGCATGGGCCCTGGCTCTTAGATTGTCTTCGCTCTTTTGTCATTTATTATTTGCGGCTTCTGCAGTCGAAGTGGCAAATAATAAAGAAGAATATGCAAGCGGCTTCCTCCAGCTACCGCCTTCTGTCCGACTTGTTGGTTCTCCGGGGGTCCAGGGTGGGTTCTTCCCGGAGGGGTCGTGCCAGGGCCTGCAGTTCTGCTCGTCGAGGTGGGCCACAGGTGCCAGTTTCAAAGCCAGTGCCGTCTTCGATCCCGGCTGTACCTGGTCGGTGCGGTGCTCGCTCTGTGTGTAGGTTGGGTTCTCGTACGGGGCGTCGGCCCTTTCGCGGTTCGTCCCATTGACGGGGCAATGGGGGGGGATGCTTGCTCTGGTCCCATGCTTCATGGGCTTTTTGGGTTGTTTCTTGCGGCCTTTGGTGGCGTTGGCTGGCTCCTCCTCCTTCTGGGGGTTCAGGGCTGGCAGGGCAGGCCTCTTCTCCTGCGCTTTGTCAGGTCGTCTTGGAGTGGGAGCACTTGGGCATGGTCGAAACGACGATGTGTCTCAGGTGGGTTTCCCGCCTGTTTCCAGTTCCGAAATGGGACTGTGTGGACCTGCTGTTCATTCTGATCTTGTCCCGTCTGAACCCCTGGGTTTTTTTGCCGCTGCTTTTGGATGACCACTCTGTCCCAGGCTCAGCTTCTGTTGGAGCCGGGCACTTGGATGGTGTCCTTGTACCTCAAGGACGCGAATTGGCACATCCCTATTCATCAGGGGTTCAGGACTGGCTTGATTTTGTTTTGGGGCGTCAGAGTTGCCGCTATCGTTGTCTCCCTTTCGGGTTGAACCTGGCACCTCGCATGTTCACACACCTCACCCGGGTCATGGTGGCCTGTCTGTGTCTGTTAGGTGTTCGGGTGTTGGCTTACCTCCACGACTGGCTGGTTTGGGCTCCCAGTCGGTCCGCATGTCTGCTTGCCAGGGGTTTGGTGCTTTCCCGGCTCGCCGGGTTCGGGTTCCTGGTGAACTGGCTCATCTGGTTCCCTCCCAAGTTCGGACCTGGCTGGGTCTTGTGTGGGACTCTCGACCCACTTCCTTGTCTCTTCCTCCGGAGTCTCCCCTTCGGTTGCGGTTCCGCATGCACTTGTTTCTGGGGGGCTTCCCAATCACCCGACGGTTGCTCGAGGGTCTGTGCAGGAGCCTGAACTTGTGATGATGGTGTACCTGCCGGGTCGGGTTTGGCTTCGTCGGTTGTTTGGTTCCTTCGGGGACGTCCCTTCCGCCTCTCGCGATCACTAGGTTTGACCCCCCGGGGGCCTTGCGTCGGCTGCTGCATTGCCGGCTTTCTCTTCAGATTTTTTGGGGTTCAGTGCCTTGGCGCCTACCCAAGCCCTCACTCGATGTGTTCATGGACGCGTCGCCTCTCGGCTGTGGCTTTGTGACCAGCGCTCACCCGGCTGGCCTGGGGCAATGGGGTCCATCCTTCTGTAGGGCCCACAGCATGGTGCAGGAGTTTGTGGCGGTGTGGTTTGCTCTTTGGAGGGTTCGGGTTGCCCGCGGATCGATAATCTGGCTCCCTTTGGACTGCTCCCTGGTGGTTCGTTGCCTGTACCGAGGGGGTTTGATGCGGTCCTTGGCTCTTTGGGGGCTGGTCGCTTTGGGTGACTCGTCTGCTGAGTTCTCGGGGTTTGGTTCTCCTGGAGGTTTACGTCCGGGGGGTGTCCAACGTCCTGGCGGATGGCCTGTCCCGGTTCATTCCCATATCCACAGAATGGACGGTCAATGCCGACTCATTCAGACATTCGGGCGCCTGGAGGTGGACCTCTTTGCGTAGGCATGGTCAACGCATCTTCTGGAATATGTGGTGTCCTTTCCCGACCGCGAGGCCGTCAGGATTGATGCCTTTTGGCAAGACTGGTTGAGATGGGGGTTCCTGTACCTCTTTTCCTGGTTCAGCTGTTGCTCCAGGTCCTAGCTCACTTGCAGACTTATGAAGGGCGAGCAGTCCTCTTGGCCCCATGGTGGCCGGCCCAGCCGTAGTTTGAGGTGCTGCTTGCCTGGTGTCCGAATCCGGAGGTTTTTCCACGGCACCGCCTTTTTCAGAACATCGGCCTGGTCCGTTACGAGACAGGTTTGCTCCTCTCCTAGAGTCTTCGCGTCTGATATTTTTGACTCGAGTTTATCACCATTTGTATGGTGATCAGGTGGTATCATTGATGGTGTCCCACCTGTGGGCTTCGTCTCGGCGGCAGTATGAAGTTTCCTGGCAGTCCTTCCGTTTTTTTTTTGACTCTTCGTCATTGTACTTCGCTTTCGATTCGGGTGGCGTTGTCCTTTCTCTCGTGGTTGTTCCAGGACCGTCATCTTGTGCTGAATTCTGTCGCCTCGTATTGTGTGGCACTGGTGGAACCGCTTCAGCTTGCTTTCGGTATTGATGTTACTTCTGCACCGTTTTGCAAGCTGTCTCGAGCGTTGTTTCACCTCTGGCCTGCTCATGCACCGCCTGAGCCGTCTTGGTCTTTGGATAGGGTTCTCTCCTATCTCTCTCCTCCTCTGTTGTGGCCCCTTCAGTTGAGGATTGTTTTTTGAAGGCTCTTTTTCCTGTTGGCATTGGCCTCTGGGGGTTGGGTCAAGGAGCTTCATGCTCTCCTCCGGCGCAGAGGTTTCTGCCATTTTGGTTGTGATGATAGTTTTGTTTGTCAGCAGCCGTCTCCTTCTCTGGCGAAGAATGAGACTGCTGCTTTCCGGAGGGGTCCTTTGGTTATTGATGCTTGGCTGGTCAGGCCAGGGGTGCATCATGTGCTGTGTCCGGTTGCAGCCCTCCGCTGTTATTTGTGCACCACAGCTTGTGTGTCCCGGGACGTACTTTGGGTTGATCTGGTTTCCCTTCTTCCCTGTTCGCGGGTATGGGTCTCTCAGGTTGTCCACAGGGTTATTAAGTCAAGCAAGCATGCAGTCTATCCACGTCCCCATGACGTTCGTAAGTTCGCTGCTCTTGCTGCCGTCTTTGGGTACATGTCTTGGGCGAACATTCGGGCATGGGGTTTTTGGTGATCGAGCAGGGTCCTGGCTGCACGCTACCTTGTAAATGTTCCTGGGCCTAGTCGGGCCTGTGTTGCGTTGGGTCAGCGGCTGCAGCCTGTCTCGACTTCGAGTTGAGGTGTGGAGCACTGACCACCTCCCTGGTAAGTCCTTCTTTATTTTTAGTCTTTGGTGAAGTAGCTTCGGGGAGCCGTAGGGGCTCCCCCAGAAAACCAGCGTTGAATGTAATGAAACAGCATTTTCTGGGCGAGTCCTGGAGGCTCCCTAGCAACTCTCCCTCCCTCCGGTCAGTGGTTTTTCGCCTACATATTTTGATTCCCAGCCTCAGAACTGTGGTGTGGATCGCCGGCACGGGGGTTTGGGGCTCCCCCTCTGGGGAGGGGGGAGCTGCGCAGACAAGCGGTGCTGCTTGTGTGATGTCATGCTTGTTTGCTCATTTTCAGTTGGGGAGTTCTGTCCACTTGTTTGTCTATTTTCATCGTTTTTAACCAGAATAGGGGGTTTTGTTTTGTGGCGTTTACCTTTCTGGGGGCTTGTCCCAGTTGATGGCAGATATACAGTACCTGGTTGATGGGGTTCTGGGAGTTCTTCTACTCCCCAAGCCTGGCCCGAGGCCAGGCTTGACTTGTGAGAGTTTGGTCCACTAGGCTGTTGCTTGGAGCGGCCCGCAGGCCCACATACCCACCACAGCCCGGTTGGTCCGGCACTCCTTGGAGGAATAAATCTAGTTCCCTCTTGAAGATGTCCACGGTTGTTCCGGCAATATTTCTTATGCTTGCTGGGAGGACGTTGAACAACCACGGACCTCTGATGTTTATACAGTGTTCTCTGATTGTGCCTATGGCACCTCTACTCTTCACTGGTTCTATTCTGCATTTTCTTCCATATCGTTCACTTCAGTACGTTATTTTACTGTGTAGATTTGGTACTTGGCCCTCCAGTATCTTTCAGGTGTATATTATTTGATATCTCTCTCGTCTTCTTTCTAGTGAGTACATTTGGAGGGCTTTGAGACGATCCCAATAATTTAGGGATCGTCTCAAAGCTCTCCAAATGTACTCACTAGAATGTTCTCATATAGAATGTTCCAAAATCACATGTATATTACTCTTTGTGCTTCTCTGAGGGGGGCCAGGTTCTGGCTCATGGTCTCCGGTAAGCCTAGAACTACACCCACATCGACTGATGCCAAAATTAGGAATATCTGTATCAGCCTGGATAGCTCCGGGGAGCCTCCGGGACTCGCCCAGAAAATGGCGTTTCATTACAGTCAATGCCGGGTTGTTTTCTATAATGTGCATCATTGGTTATAATTAATATCTCAACACTTCACCTATAATTCTTATAATGTACAGTGCCATATATATATTATGGTATTATACAGTGTACATTTATAATGTTTGTCATACTTACATGCAGCTTTTGGAGATAATTATCGTGTTCAATGACACTGATAAATTTATACATGCTCTGAGGGGAAAATCACATTTATGATGCTTCATTTGAAATAAAACTGAAAAACAAGAATATAAATGTGATCTAAGATACTTATTATTTCTTCAGTGTTCCAGTTGGAGGCAATAATATACCTCATCGATTGCCACCCATCAACCAGAACACAATTATACATCAACCAGTCTCCAATGGTATATCTAGTGCACGAGAAATGATCAAGCTTGTTGCTGTGAGCATCACTCAGTTTGTGTAAGTTGTAATTGTGTTTCAACATAAGTAATTATGAGCGTCAAATGTTCATTATTACTTTTCTTAAATTTAAGTTTTTAATTTGCATCTTAACTGCTCCCATCGTACTGAAATGATAAAGGGAATGGAGAGCATAGAATGTCTGGCGCTGGTTCCATGCTGATGGGAAAAGGTTCACCTTGGAGGAACCAAATATCTTGTAGAGCCAATAGAAGGATGCATTGTCAATAGTCTGCTCCTTGGAAGTGTGGGTGGAAGTGAGATAACCCGTAACTATGTACCTACATGTTCAAGATTTCGAGGATCAATGGCCTCGCAGTGTGGTCTCTGACCAGGCCTGGTTGCTAGTCTAATCAACCAGGCTGTTTGATGTGGCCGCTCACAGCCTGATGTATGAGTTACAGCCTGGTTGATCAGGTAACCTTTGAAGGTGTTAGTCAAGTTCTGTTTTGAACATGACAAAAGGTCGGCCAGTTATGCCTCGTATGTGTAGGGGAAGACTGTTGAAAAGTTTTGAGCCTTTGATGTTGATAGAATTCTCTCTCACCATGCCTATTGCACCTTTGCTTCTCAGTGGGGCTGTTTTGCACATCCTGCCATGCTTCTGGTCTCATGTGGTGTTATTTTTGGTTGCAGATTTTAAACCAATTCTTCTAATATTTTTCAAATATAAATTATTATGTATATCTCCTGTCTGTGCTTCAGGGAATACAGATTTAAAATTCTTAGCCAGTCCCAACAATTTAGATGTTTTGTTTAGTGAGTTCTCGGAGTAACAGATCTTTGTATGCTCTCTAGGCCATCAATTTCTCCAGCTTTGAATGGGGCTGTTAGTGTGTGACAATATTCCACTCTAGAGAGCACTAATATCTTAAAAAGTATCATCATTGGCATGGCACCTTTTGTTTAGAAGGTTCTTGTTATCCAACCTCTCATTTTTCTTGCAGTTGTGACAGCAACTTTGTTCTGTTCTATAAAAGTAATGTCTTCCAACATGATTACTCCTAAATCTTTTACATTGCTTTTTCCTTTAAAAGTGTAGTTTGACTGTGATTTATATGTGGTCTCTGCTTTGATGTTTTTGTTTTTTCCATAGCGCAGCAACTGGAATTTACCCTCATTCAACATCATATTCTGTGGCCCATTGAAAGACTCGATTAACATCAAATTGCTTCGTCCTCTATAGTGTATACTCTCATGAAAATTCCTGTGTAATTCCTAAGTGTTGTTACAGGATGAGTTACACTCGTGGTGTCCCGTCTTCCCAGCACTGTTTGTCATATAACGCTTTGAAACTACTGAAGGTTTTGGCCTCCACCACCTTCTCACCTAACTTGTTCCAACCGTCTACCACTCTGTTTGTGAATGTAAATTTTCTTATATTTCTTCGGCAGCTTTGTTTAGTTAGTTTAAATCTATGACCTCTTGTTCTTGAAGTTCCAGCTCAGGAATTCATCCCTATCAGTTTTATCGATTCCTGTTACTATTTTGTACGTAGTGATCATATCGCCTTTTTTTCGTCTGTCTTCTAGTTTTGGCATATTTAATGCCTATAACCTCTCCTCGTAACTCTTGTCCTTCAGTTTTGGGAGCCATTTAGTGGCATGTCTTTGCACCTTTCCCAGTTTGTTGATGTGGTTCTTAAGATATGGGCTCCATACAACTGCGGCATATTCCAGCTGGGTCTAACAAAAGTCGTGAACAATTTCTTTAGTATTTCACTATACATGTATTTAAAAGCAATTCTGAAATTAAAAAGTGTAGCATAAGTTCTGTATGTGGTCTTCAGATGATAGTTTTCTATCTCGAACCACCCCTAGATCTCTCTCTCTCTCTATCCGAATTCTTTGAAGATTTCTCACATAATTTATAGGTTAAATTAACTAATCAGAGACATTACAATCTCAGGTACTACATACTCAGACCACAAGCTCATTGAGGTGCAAACTAACATTAATAACAGTAGTAGGTCCAAGAGAAACAACAAAGCAAGAAGGGTAATTCAATCAATTCAATTTCAACAATAAGAAGATTGACTGGGAAAAAATAAATGTAGACCTTGCAATCATTCGATGGAAAACAGTCTTAAGCGACAAAACTCCCCCACACATGGAATAGCCTAACTGACAGCTGAAGCATACAAGAACTGCTTGGAGCATGTTCCTGTGAGGAGGATCAGAAAGAGGACCACTTTAGAATGAAAATGCAGACAACTGTATAGTAGAAGGAAAAAAATCGCGGAAATACTTAAACAGGCACGACAATCACAAGCAAGGAAATTAATCTAAATAGGGAGATGGAAGAAGAGAACTATCAGGAGAAAGTGCCAAGCCACTTTAGCACCTGGAAGGTATCAGAATAAGGATTTGGGATGGGACGGGGAAAGGAATGGTGCCCAACCACTTGGACGGTCTGGGATTGAACGTTGACCTGTATGAAGTGAGACCGTCGCTCTACCATTCACTCCAAATAGCTGGTGTGGACAGTAGAAATAGAGCAGAAGCTAAAGCAATCTTACGAGTCTAAGGAAATGGAATTGGAACATAAAACTATACAAGAGATTAAGAAAAATTCAAAATATTTTTCACATATGCAAAAAAAAAAAAAAAAAAATCTGCCAGTATTGGATCTTTACTTGCAACTGAAGGTTCATTATATGGGGGGGAGCCGGTGACTGAGCGGACAGAACACTGGACGCATGATCCTGTGGACCTGGGTTCGATCCCAGGCGCCGGCGAGAAACGATGGGCAGAGTTTCTTTCACCCTGATGCCCCTGTTACCTAGCAGTAAATAGGTACCTAGGAGTTAGTCAGCTGTCACGGGCTACTTCCTGGAGGTGGAGGCCTGGTCGAGGACTGGGCTGCGGGGACACTAAGGCCCCGAAATCATCTCAAGATAACCTCAAGATAACCATTCACAGGGGACAACAAAAGAAATTAGTGAAGTTCTAAGAAGCCAGTATGAGGCTATGTTTAGCACCCCAATAAACAACATGAAAGTTGAGGATCCAGATACTTTCTTTATGAAAGACATTTAAGCTGCAAATAATATAACGGATATTAACACAAACTCGGAAGACTTTGAAAGAGTAATTGACAACATGCCCATGTACTCATCCCTGGTCCTGACTCATGGAATTCAATATTCATAAAGAAATGTAAAATACCAGTAGTGTGAGCGCTCAGTGTAATATAGAGAAAGAGCCTAGATACAGGAGATAACAGCATCACATAAATCAGCAGATATACCGGTAGCTCCTCTGCACAAGGGAGGTAGTAAGCTTTAGCAAAAAATTATAGACCAGTTGTACTAACATCTGAAAGAGTGATTATGAATCAGATTTCCAGTTTTATGGGAAAATAATGAGCTACACAACCCGTGACAACATGGATTTAGAGCGGGAAGATGCTGTCTGGCAGTTACTCAACCACTATGACAGAATCACAGAAGCCTTAGAGGAAAAGCAAATTGCAGATGTTGCATATACAGATTTTGCAAATGCATTTGACAAATGTGACCATGAAATGACAGCCCATAAAATGAGATCAATAGGAATAATGGGTTAATCGTTGGATTTTCAACTTCGTCAAACAGAATGCAGAGAGTGAGTCAGTCAGTCAAATAAGATCAAGCTCATGTGCAGTGATAAGCTCTGTATCCCAGGGCACAGTTCTTGCACTACTGCTATTTCTCATTCTTATCTCTGATAAAAATACTAGTCGGCTTTTTTCATCCTTTGCAGATGATACAAAAATCAGCATGAAAATTGCCACTGTAGAAGACACTGAAAAACTACACCAAGATATATATAAAGTATTAGATTGGGGAACTGAAAATAACATGTTTAATGGTTGACAAGACCACACACTAGAAGGTGAAGGGACGACGACGTATCGACTTGAGAATGGTCCAGGACGGACCGAAACATCGTCGTCCCTTCACCTTCTAGTGTGTGTTGATCAGACCACACACACTAGAAGGTGAAGGGATGACGACCTTCTTCACCTTCTAGTGTGTGGTCTGGTCAATATACTTCAGCCACGTTATTGTGACTCATCGAATGCATATATTTAACGATGATAAGTTGTAGGTACTCAGGTATGGTGTAAACAAGGAACTTAACACTTTTCTGCAATTTCCACTTGGAGTTACGGGCGGTTTAGATAAGCGCTTGTCGGATCACGACGTAAATTTACGGACCGTGTTATAGTGGGTATTTACTACTCGATTGACTTGGGGTTTGTATGAATATGTTTGCCATTAAATTTTCGTTTTCTCTAATAGGCACAGTGCCTATTTGAGAAAACGGCAATGTATTGTAACTTAGAGGAGAGACTATTGAGTTGGTGACACAACGAGGGTAATCGCCCACTCCACACACTCTTGTGTTGGCCGCGATCATGATTCTACATTTATATGCATATGTCTTTGTAGAGAATTTTATTCCGAACACTATACAAACAAAAAAAACGGTGTGAAACAAGTATAAACTTGAAAAAACATGAGCAATGTAAAAACTTATTACGCTCTCACGGGTACAAACACGCGTAAGATTTTATTCGCCACAAATTTATTTGACGCTCTGTTGGCCAATTCTACCCATGTTCTTATAGAACTTTCTATTGCGAACACATTACTATAAAAATGAAATATGTAGCTCGAGAAATAATGTCAGTACAGTGAAATAAGTATAAACATTCAAAGCTCTGCATCACAACAGTGTCGTCGCTGCTGAAATCATGGCTAACGCTTCGCCCAGTTCCCACACTCGTGCGGAACATAATTAGACATTGATAGGCATATGTCTGGGTGGGGAATTTTATTGCGAGTTCAGTGATATCAAAATAAGCGCTGTAGGATGACTGTGAGGCTGGCAACAAACGAAAGAGTATGAACATTTACTTCCTGTTTGGGTGTCACGGCGAGTCGTCTTCGTGTTTATTTACTTCGTGGTGGGATAGCAAATGCTTTGGTGACATTTTATGCATATGATCTTGTA